GTCAAATATATGATATATGGATTTTTTCATGTACGGGATTGTACATGTCTCTGCTTGAAAATGTTCCATATCCCTGGCTAAACGTTGCTGGCGATTCCGACGTTCATCACCAATTTTCAGAAACCAAACCATAACTTTATTGGTCTCAGTCTCGGTGATATTAATGCGAGTAAGCACGTTCCTTCCTGCTATAAAATTTAAGGAACAGAAGTCTTGTCAGAATGAGTATCCGAGAAGCAAAAAACACATGTTGAAGTGTTTCTATTATTAGCCTGGTGACACATTGGTTGAACCACTGACCCCCGTGGACCGACCAGCTAGAATATGCATATCATTAGGGCCAATAAAAATCTTTCATACAACAACAGGCGGTTATTTTTACAGATCACTCTTAGTAATGGATATGTGTCTACATTTGGAGGCGATTTTCTTCGAAACTATGGGAAAAATAATTTCATAGCTTATTCATATCTACAAGCATTTATGTAATCAACAATTATCCTATATCTATATATTTTCTATCTGCAAACTTTAAGGTTATGGCAGCTTTGAAGAACTTGGATAGGCAACTTATTTTAAACGTTCTTTCTGACAAAACCACCAGCTAATCAAACCGAAATCAATAACAAGAGAATATTTCAAATAAGCGTAAAGTAGGGCGCACGGCGGTGACGGTCCAGTGTGTTGCAAGACACCTATTCTGCAACACCAGCTCGCGAAACCCAAGATTCTGTTATCGGCTTGCAGGTAACAAGAAAATATGTGTACATACTATATATATATATATATATATATATATATATATATATATATTATGTATAGATAGATGATATATAATATATAGATAAATAGATATAGAGAATAGATGGATAGATGCCAATATAAAAATGTGTGTGTGTATACATATATACATACATACCATATATATATATAATATAAATATATATATACATATATATGCATATATTATCACTATATAATATATACATCAATATATATATATATATATATATATATATATAACAATATATTACATATTATAATCATATATATATAATATATATATATATATATATACTATATATTATATATCATATACTTATCACACATAAATATATCACTACTATATAACCAGTATATATATATATCATACAGTAAGTAATATACATCATATATATCATTATTATATATATTATCTATAGTATATAATATAATATAAGTAAACTATAGTCATACTATATATACACATATACTATCCTATACTATAATATATATATAATATATATATATATATATATATATATATATGTGTTTGTTGTGTGTGTGTGTGTGTGTGTGTGGTTGTGTGTGTGTGTGTGTGTGGCTGGTGTGTTGGTGTGGTGTGTGTGCGTGTGTGTGTGAGTGTGTTGTGTAAGTGTGTGTGTGTGTGTGTTTGTGTGTGTGTGTGTGTGTGTGTGTGTGTGTGTGTGGGTGTGTGTGTGTATCATAATATATAATATATATAATATAATATATATGTTATATATACATATATATATGTTATATTATACATATACTGTATATATGTATATATTACCACGCATATTATTGTATTATGAACCTATATGTGTTGTATGCTATACTATATATATATATATATAATATATAATATATATATATGTGTCGTATAACTTATATATATAATATTTATTATATGATGTGCTGTTGTATATATAGTATATATATAATATATATATACTATATATAATATTATATATATTATATTTTCATCATATGTATGTGTTGTGTGTAATATATAACTATATATATAATATATATAATATATATATATATATATATATATATATATATAAATATAACTTCCCGCAAAAATAGGGGGTTCTTGGCCTTAGCTTAATGATTGCTTGCCTTCTATATTATATATACCCAGTTGACTCCGTCTCGTCGTTTCCCGACAGATCCACGCTTGCTACCTGCAATGAGCGACGCCGAGGACATAGACTACTTCGTGTTAGGCTTCGAGGACTTCGACGAATCAGCCAGGCTACTCGAGGACGATTTCTTCCAAAGGGAGCCACTCGTAGGTCTTCTGTTGTTTACGTGTGGGACTTTTCAGGATTCAAAGAAGAAGTACTGGTTGAATGTTTCGTGTTTCCTTTTCATGAAAGTCGCGGCTGCTTGTAGAATTGAGTATGTTGGGATGTAAATAAGGGCAAACAGTTACGAAGATACGATCCCAACATCCTTAAATTCCAGAGCATCGGGATACACTTAGTCCCTTCAGCATCCACAGGATAGATCGGAAGGATACTGAAGGAATGCCTTGCCTCCGGGGTGTCCTTCGGTGCCAGGGACGTCAAGGCAAGAAGCTTGGTGCGGTTCCCGGTTGTCCTATACCCCAAACGACAAGGGCATTCCGGCTGCTGAGGACCCGCTTGATTTTGAAGATATATGATTATATATAATATATATATATATATTATATATATATATGATATATATACTATATATGAAGAGGAAAGCGACA